ACTTCCGGCTGTATTTATGTGTAGGTGTATAGAACATACAGATACAGTTTGTAAATAGTAATAGTAATAGTAATAATAATAATAATGATAATCAGTATGCCTAATGCATTTGATGTTCATAAAAGATATACAATTACATATAGGTAACTATATATATGCATGTATATTTAATTTGATTCCTCTGTTGTTTTTCGCTTTTTAACACTACATGGCACGCACACATACACTCACACTCAAAGTTTTGCTGGGTGTCCTGTGAGTGTGTGTGTGTGTGTGCGCGCGACATTTATATGTAAATATATGTGTGTATGTATAAGTAGTAAAAAATTTAATTTGTATATATTTTTATGCTTATTTACTGCGTTTGCCAGATGCATTTAAGCACCTATTGGCCTTTTGTACTCTACGTGCCTTCTTCGCCTCCATTTGCTCCACGAGAACTACATTGCCCAAATGAGACTCAGCAGTTGCTTGAATTGATTCGCTTTTGATTGGCTGGAGCAATTGCAGCTGTTGCTCGTTTCCCTTTTCAATTTCATTGCCATTGGGAGGCAGCATTGGCACCAGCTTAATGGACACTGGACTCACAATCACGCCGCTGCGTTGATGATTGCCATAAAAGAGTTTCGTCGAATAGCCACAGCTGGTGCTGCCGCTGGCTTCGACCTGTTGGCTTGTTAGATCCTGAGACGGCGATGTCGCATTGGACGCAATTATATTGGACGTTTCACCGATTTCGCTGTCCATCATCGTTGCCGCATATTTGCGTTTGGGGTTTTTGGCAGCCGTATTAACGGCTAACAGCTTAGATGTGGTTGCCTCATCTGGTAGAGCAAACGGGTTCTCAACGCTTACGTTCAGCTCACACCCGTGCACATTGGCGGCAGCCGTCTCATCCGCCTCGGTCTCATCGTTAATTATGATTATGTTATCCGGATCGACACCCTGATTGACCAGCGCCTTTAAATCCTCGTGCGGTAACACTGGAGTCACCTTCAAATTACATGAACTGCAGACCGACGGTATTGCAGGGCTCTTAGAGCGCCAGAATTGCAGCTCGGTTTTGCACTTGTTGAGCTCCTACGATTAAAATATATATAATACTGAATATGTTTACGGTTGGCCGTCTTCTTACGCACCTGCAACAATGTGGAAAATTTGCGTGCCATTTCTTCATTCTTCTTGTCATTCTCGTCCAGGCGATTGGCATATTCCAGCGTCTGCTTCTGATGCTCCGCCAATAAATTTTGCTGTTCGGCAAGCTGCTTGCTCTGCTCAGCGGATTTGCGTTTGCAGTTTCTTAATTCGGTGCGCAGCACCGAAAGCTGATTATTGTACATCTTCATTCCCTGCTTGATCTTGCGTATGCCCTTACGCAACACCATGTGGTTCTGAGGTGGTGAGTTAGTCGAACTGTCTGAGAGATCTGAGCTAATAGCTAAGGTAGCTGAAATTGGTAGATAAATTGTTTTAATCATCAGATGAAAAATTAAAATCAGTCGACTTACGCCGCTTTGTGGTAACGGGTAATTGGAAAAAGTCCTTGTTAAAGTAGGCCAAGCCCGGCAGAGTAGGTTCAATGCGGTCCTTAAAGTACTCCATAGCCATTGTGGAGAGATCAAATAGTTCATCAGTGACACGATAAGGACGCTGCAAGCGCGGCGTAATACTAATGTAGTTTAAAATCGAGTGCACTTCATCAAGAATCTGCAAAGGCATAGCAATCGAATTCAGATAGGGCTGAAGTAATTGATAATAAGATTCACTTACGGCACCCGGAAAGAAACAGCAGTGACCACGCTCAATGTGCTTGCCCATGGACATCTGGAGCAATGACAGTCGCATATAGCAAGTCTCGATAATGTCGCATTCGCAGGCCAACGGATGATGACGACGAGCCGACTCGCGGCGGGGCATACTCGACTTTATCGATTGAAAGCGATTGAATGTCGTCTTAATCTGCTTTGCGAAAGCCGCATTCAACATATTCATGCAAATGTCGTTCATGCGATTCGACACCTGCGAAAAAAAATCATTTACAGCACATGTCCATATATTACTTTTAAATTCATAATTGTTTTTAAATTCAGCAGGATCACAGAGCGGCAGCAACAACCCGCATCCCAAAATTTTCGCGCATCTCATAAATATATCAAATTACGATTGGCTACCTACTACACAGCATATTCTCAGATACACGCACACGCACACACGTGCGCTACACATGCACATATAGGCTAATATACGAATGTGTACAAAAAATCAAATGCATGACAAACCCCAAGAAACAAAACAAGAGAGATAGCGATGTGTATTGCCTCTCTACGTGACACGACATGTTCGTTTTTTTTTTATCCTAATAAATATAATTGAGCTCAAGGTATTTAGCATACAAAATAAATTGAAAATGTTTAAACAGACATACATAGCTCGATGTCCCGATTGGATTTAAATTGAAACAATACTTAGAATAAACAAAAACACTGATAACGCACGATATGAAATTTTACCATATTTTTTCCAATAAGATTTGTATTAAATTTATATTCGATAACATTTATACATATATATTCCTTTATACATTATTGTAGAGCTAGTCTAAAAATAATACTTCTTTAGTCTGTCAAATACCGTAACTTCTTTCCTATTTACCTGCGCACACATAAAGGCATTGCATCGTGTCCATCCATGAGATAGTATATTCATGTGTTGACATTCGAATTTCAAAAATGATAAATACTCCAAAAACAAGAGCACATACATCCACGAATCGTGCTCGTTCGAGCTACGACCCATGCTCCGCTCTAGTCGTCGACGATTTTTGAGTGGCAAAAATAATATATGTTACAACAGCAACATGTACAAGTGCATGCAGGTAGTGAAATAACACGCCTCTACCCCTCGAACCATCTATCCATCGACTACTTAGCCATCGACGACCCACGCGCATTCTACTTACATATGTATGTACACTTTGCAAATTGCTTTTTATTGATTAAATAATAAAACTTGCTTTGCACTTGTAACAGGCCTACCACACCCCGACTACTCTACTTCGCAGCCTGTTGTCACTTACCAATCTTAAATTGCTGATTTTCTTATAGTCCAAGTAGCCGAGCGTTTTGATGATCAGCTCCGTGGGCAAGTCCAGGAAATTTAAAACGGGAGCGATGGTAGCCAGAGGCTGCTGGCGCTGTTCCTGTTGTTGCACTTGCTGCTGCTGCTGTTGCTGCGGCTGATGGTGATGGTGCTGATAATGTGTGGTTCGCCGCACTACTGTGGCGCGAGTCGTTATTGGCGTCTCATCATAACCACCGGCGCCTCCCGCATTGCCGCACATTTGGCGCGTTGAGACCATAGCGAACAAACAGCAAAGACACTTAGTTGTTTATCTCCAAAACTTATTAGTTGCAAAGTGCTTTGAAGTATAGGCTAAATCGTCTTTGATGGACAAATGCTAGGAAATATGGATCGAGGCAAAATGTTTAATTGCAATTTTTTGATTTCGATTTCTGTCGAAATAATTTACAATCGACCGATGACAGGCATCATCCAGTTCGTTTGATCGAGTCTCTCTTCCTATATATGTACGTGTGTACAGTGGGAAACTCTTGTTAAGAGCAATTTGCTACGCACTTTAGGCATAGTGTATTTCTTACCCGTTTTATTCAATGGAATTAATACGTGTACATGATTTTTTGAATACTATTCAGTACGCATAAGCGTTTAGTGCACAGCACAACACTTTTTTGTTGTATTTGCAACGTTTTCATGGACTTTTCACACAATTTTTCTCGACCAGCACAATTAAAACTACATACACGCAAAAAAAATGGTCGAAGACACAGGAACCAGCTAATAATGCTATCGATAAGTTTCTATACGAGTATCGAGCTGGTTCCTTGCTGCCACAGTTGCTATATAGAGACGCGCGCCAAAAGGTAAGAAAATGATGTGAGGTGGCAACGCTGGTTGATGTTAACTAAACAGTAGCACTGTCTGGTCAGTGACAGTAGTCTGTAAGATGGGGGCAGTCCGTTCTGTTAAGTCAAAACTCGCTCAACATGCATGCTGAAAAAAAACAGCAAATGTGCTCATTTTCATAATTGATCACAAATTGTATATAAATTAAAACAAAATTAAATGGTAATAAGCTTCAAATTCGACACAACAGCACATCAATACGAAATCAGCAAATGTGAAAACAGTGAGAGCACCAGAACAAAACGCTTTGTGAGTCCGTGCGAGTGTGAGACTTACGAGTGCGTGTCAGTATGTGTGAGCGTGAATGTTGACCAAAAATATGAAAAGAAATACACATATATAGCTATATATTGCTGCAAAATCAAAACAGGAAGTGCACACAAAATAAATGCAAGGAGACAAATATTAATGGAAAAACTAGTCATAAAGAATATACCTCTAAACACTGTGTGCAAACAGAATTTAACTAAACTCATTACTGGGTGGGGGCGTTCCTGGTTTTTTGAGCAACTTTCTGTGTTATTTTGTTGTTTTCAAGTTGATGCCGCTTCAGGGACGCTTTAAATATTATTGAATATCACGTCATTTGGTAACGCTCGCGCGCACTCGCTCTCTCACTCACACTCTCTCTCTCCACTGTTTTTTGTTGCTGTTGCACATTTAAAAATCAAAACTCACACGCACACACACTCGCATGCAATAAACTTTTTTTTACAGTGAAATCGAAGACTTGCATTCAAATGAATGTACAAGACTTACTGTTGATTGCTGTGTGTGAGTGGTGTATATGTATGTATGTTTGTGTGAGTATTTGGACGTGTATATGTGCGCTTTAGAGTTCGTTTTCATATGTTAATTCATGCTTATAATGTTCGTTTTTATCTCAAAAAAATATATAAAGTTTCGTGCTATCGTCGAACAGCAGCAGCCGCTCCCATACACCATTCTTGCCAAGTACACACAAACACTAAACGGAGCCTCAGCGGAGAATAAAAACAAAAACAAGTACAACAACAAGAACCACAGTAATATCAACAAAAACCAAAACAGCAGCATCAATAGCAGTATTGGATGCCTATTGCCTGCCCACGCCCACAATGACAGCCGCTCCGCCCGCCCACGATAATGGCGAGCAGAACCACCAACAACAACAGCAGCAGTACGCATTAGTGAAGCGCGCTGAAGACGAACGTGAGGATATATTTAAGCGCTATGAGCTGGGCCTGGATCCCCATAACGTAGTCGACTCCTGGGAGAATCCCACATTTGAAATCTATCACATAACAGACAAGTAAGTAAAGATGGATGTTTTTCTTTGTTTCAAGCGATTAGCGGCTCTGTGTATGGGTGTGAGCTTACTAATGCATAAATAACTGTTAATCGCAACAATACAAACATGTGCCAACAATAGAGGGCGTATTACAGCCAAAAAAAAAAACCTAAATATAAGTATATAGGTACATATATTCCGAATTTATAATAATCTCTTATTGTCCACATTGAATATGAGTTTGGCTAACGCAGTTGCATATCTCTCGAGCATAAGTTAATGGAATGTAGAAGACATTCTATTGCTAGTTCCCTTTTATAAATGCAATTATTCATGATATCTTATCAGGTGCCAATATCAGTTGTTTAATCTAATACATAAAAACCGCTAATCGCAAACAATGTTATCAGTTCTTAGGGAAATGTTTATTAGAGACAACTATTTATCCACTTTGCGTAGCCAGCATATAATCAGCTCTAAACTCGGTTCTTCATTTCTATGTTGTCTCAACATTGTCGTGTCTTAAGTGACTTAAAAAATATAGTTCAGATAGGAATTTTTGCACCTGATGAAATCGTTTGTCTATTTTTATCTTATCAGCGTTAAGTGTGTTTAATGTATCTTGTTTTTAGATACGGCTTCATGCACGATTCCCGCCTGCCATCGTCTCGCGACTCTCAGGAGGTGCAGCGCACGAAGATTGAACTGGAACGTGATAAAAAATGGGTGAAAATGCTGAATCACTGGCCTCCGCCACAGGATAAGCTACACAAGCGGGTCTACAAGGGAATACCGGATCGAATGCGTTGGCCGGCTTGGAAGCAATTGCTGAATGTGCAGCAGTCTATGGACAACAATGTGGGCGTGTACGCTCGCATGTTGCAGATGGCAAAAGAGAATGCAACTGAGACGCGACAAATCGACGCGGATGTCAATCGTCAATTTCGTGACAATCTGGCCTACCGGGAGAGATATAGCGTGAAACAATGCTCACTGTTTAACGTGCTGAACGCCTACAGCATTTACAACTCCGAGCTGGGCTATTGCCAGGGCATGGCGTGTGTGGCGGGCGTATTGCTGCTGTACATGCAGGAGGAGGAGGCATTCTGGGCACTCAACACGCTGATCACAGATCGCAAATACGGCATGCACGGCCTGTTCATTGAGGGATTTCCAAAGCTGACGCGCTTTATCGAGCATCATGATCGCATTCTGTCGAAGATAATGCGCAAGCTGCATAAACATTTTATGAAACACAATGTGGACGCCTTGCTTTATGCCATCAAGTGGTTCTTTGTGGTCTTTGTGGAGCGCGTAAGTAAAACGAAGATAAATGTGCAAAATTATACTCCGTCTAACTTATAAATATTTGTGTATTTTCAGGTACCTTTTAGCTTAAGTTTACGTGTTTGGGATATTTTTCTACTGGATGGCGATCGTGTTATATTAGCCATGGCCGTTACGATACTTTATTTGCACAAGGACGAACTGTTACGTCTAAAAGATATGGATGGCATTATTGAATATCTGCAAGTGAAGCTGCATAAGAATTTCGGATACAGTGACGACGATGCCATTCAGGCGCTCGAGCGTGTCATGAAGAAGTTGAAAGATCTAAAACTCGATGTACCCCCACCAGCGAAAGCCAATGAGTTTCCCACACGGCCGCTCGGCGTGTTTGTGGCGGCGGATCTCGAGAAGAAAACTGGACGCAGACGTGACTACACCGATACGGAAAAGCAAGTCTTAACAGATGTGATAACAAGGTACGAGCATTTGCATATTAAATTTCAATTCAATTGTTAATGTATTCACTTCACTGCAAAATTGATAGGCAAGAACAAAACGCAATTGAAGTACAATCTACGGTGTCCTATGAGACATCCGAGTGCGCAACTGGTGAGTTTCTGTATATATATATTGATACTTATTCAATGGCACACTACTTAACTGAACTATTCTTATATACACTATATCTAACGCTTGCTTCTCTACTAATTAAAAAAAAACACACACACATTTCTTTAAAGCTTTATATAGACAACACATAATTGTAATTTGTAGTGTGCGTGGTGCAAGCGTTGAAATTAGTTTCATTTTATATATATTTATCTAAAATCGAATCCAAAGTGAATTATAATATTTTACAAGTACAATTTAGTCTTATGGTCGTCTTTTTTACCAAGCGTTTATCGTACGTATTTAGTCATGTATTTAGTATTGTACAATGAAGTTTGCCCACTTGTATATTATTTGATGTTTCTATAAATATTTTGTTGTTGTTTCTTATGTTTTAAATGTGCTGGTTAATTTGTATATAATTCCAAAAAGTTTCAACTCTTGATGAAGAGATAACGTCTACATAACGACAGATCTTAAAGAATTTCCTATTAATTTCCAAGGCTTTTTATTAACATAATGAACTTCAACCCTAAAATGAATACCAAAAAAAGAAAATGTTGCATTGAGTACGCATCGTAAAGTTCGCTGACCCAATTAAATGGATGTAATTAAATTTAAAGACTGGACTTAGTGATACCCTGTTGTTTTCTTTTTGCGGTTCTGGGCGGTGGGTGCGAGTTGTGGTTGTTGTGTTCACTATAACTAAAAAGAATGTATATGTGATGATGCGAGATCAACTGCCTATGTATATATATATCAAATTAATTAAACTGAAGCATAAACCGTCGCTTATTAAATATGCGTCACTGCTCACACGTCATTCGAGATTTATATATATATGTATATATATATATATATATATATGTATGTATGTATGATTTTCGATTTGAATTACATTTGTCTAACAATGTCCGCTCCATATGTACATCACACGCATTTATTCAAACGCTTCAATTGCAATGTCTACGCGGGATTTTGTCTTGTGGAAACATGTTAAAACCTCTATGTGTGGCGTCTATCGAATATTTAACTAAACCATATACATTCGAAAGCAAAAAAAAAAAAAACACTGCATAATCTCTATTGTTCGTAGGTGATGCGTATTCAATGAAAACCTATCAGAGTATGACTAGTTTAGCCACCTCGCCGGCAATTAGTAGCTATTCGCTATATAGCAACGGCAATGGCTTTGTGATCACCGGGCCCGAAGACAGCCGCAGCCAGAGCGTTAACAATCTCAACCACCACTGGCAGCAGTCGCAGCAACAGTCCTATACCTATATGCAGCACATCTCAGCCGATCGTTTATCAAACCAACGGCATAGTTATAGCAGCGATAGCGACTGCCGCAATCGACTCGATCTGGATAAGGCGCTGGAGGCGCTGCAAAGCCAGCAAGTGCAACTGCAGCACGAGAATCATCATCAGCAGCCGCAGCACAGCAAACGAATCCTGGTCGAGAATGGAGCTAATAAGCTGACGCAGGAGAACTTAGCCAAATCAGTCAAGCATCTTAATGCGAAATGCTATGATGTCGTTATTGTTAATGATGTTAATGTTGATGTTGATGATGATGATGATGCGCTGAGCGTGGAGAATACGCGACTGTAGTCTTTTCATTTCATCAATCTATAATCGTTTATGTGTCGTAGCTTTTAAGTTGAATTTTGTACTTGAATTTATTAACCTTATTCGATTGATTTGCCGTTGCTCAAATTGAATGCCAATTAGTTACAAATTTACATTAATTAGCAATTAGATTTAATTTCTTTGGCTATCGAAAATTGTTGCCTAGCAAACAAATTTGTTAAACGTAAATATTTGTTGTTGTCTAATGTCAACGTTTTATATTTAGCGTATATTTCTCAAACACACACGCAACTGATATTATCCTTACATATATATATTGAAATCAGTCATATATATATTTATTCCAAAAACAAAAAGAAACAATAACTGATAATTCCTAAGATACCAACGATTCCAGCAATACGTACAACGGTTTCAATGCACAACCTAACTAAAAACACTTAACCTAAACTATTAACTACTCTATACACGTATTTATTAATGCCAACAATTCTGATATATACCCTATATACATAAATGAAGTCTATCTACATACATAAATTAAAATGTAACTGCATTTTTAAATAATGTTTTTGCTTAAATTAAGTTTGCATTTATATATCGTTTCATTTGCTACTTAAAACACACAGAACGCCAAATTCAGATTGTAGCTCTAGCTAAAAATATTAGCTATATATATTTAACTAAAATAAATATATATGACTTTTGTACTGAAGATTTGATTTCTTATTGCCACTTTATGTTTCTATTGCACTTTGCATGTCCTTTGAATCTAGACAAACTCTATTGCAGCTTATAATTGATAATAAATTAAAATATGAATCATTTTTATTTTGCACATATACATACACTAACACATTATTCAACAACCAATTCGTATTCAAAACTAAATGTTAAATTGTTTTTTTTTTTTAACCAAAAAAAAAAACCTGAAAATAAAATACAAAAATCTTCAATCTACATTGGAAACCCAACAATTGGAAAACAACGAACTACTGCTAATCATATTGAAAAACGTTAACTATATCACATACCCTATAAAAACAAAATCAATACCAAACCGAATACATAAACTATTAGTTACGCTTACTGTACCCGAGGATTCGCACTCAATTCGAAGTTCGCTTGCAGGTACTTCAGTTGCCTCTCACGGCTCATCGGAAACCATGTCGCTGGAGGACAATAAGTAAAGTCTTTGCATTTCCTCAATTTCTGATTTTCAATCAATTTGTTAATGATTGAAACATTTGTTTATTGCAGCATTCACTTGAAAACCGCCAATATGCTGCAAAATGCACCGCAACGTGAAATGCTGTTGGGCACCTGACGTCAGCTGCCGCCGGCATCTCAAGCGATGTCCGCCGCGGCAGCAGCAACGATTACTAAAACAGCAGCAGCAACATCAACAACAACCATTACAGCAAATACTGCTGAAACTGCAACTGCAACAAGCAATGCAACCACTAGAACAAACACTGCAACACCGCCACCCGTGCCGCCGCGTTCACCGCTGGCGCTGGGCTGATTAGCAGCCAGGACGACGACGACGACGACGACAAAATTGACACCCGTAAGAGTGCCATACTTAACTGTTAAGACATTCTAATTGTGTTCCGCGTCCAGTCATCGTCGTTCTTGCCTAGTTTTTAAGCTTTGTCGCCTTGCCACAGAAAACTGATATTTAAATGTAGTGTAAAACGCAAGCCAAAAAAAAGTTTCTCAAATTTCTAGTTCGGTTTATTAACAAAATAATTCGCAAAAAATCAATCAATTATTCGGCAAATTTATTTGAATGTATATAAACATATATGCATACCTATAGATTTTGTATATAGATACTTAACAGAGTGTGCTTGTAAAGAAACTTTGCACAGAGCCAAAAAACAACTGACAAGGGCCAAGCTCCCAAACAATAAGAAATATGAAATAATAAACCGCAAAAAAAGCAATCGAGAAATAAATGCAGATATTTGTTGTAGCAAGAGCAACATGTATTTAATACAAAATAAACTAAAAGGGAATATGAAATTAGAGAGCTATTATATTGTAAATTGTATATATAAACCCCAAGAAAATACAAAGCAACTTTAAACAATATATAAACATAATTAAAAATTTACGTCCATGCTACCAAAAATTAGCAAATGAGCAAGTTGATAATGTATATACAAGAGCAAACGAATGATTATGATTATGATTACAATTATCTACATAACGTATGCATTGTTTTGCATGCCCAACTATGCAAGTTTATATATATATATATATATATATATATATAAACAATGCATACATTATATATTAAATTTAAGTAATTTATATATTTAAAAAAGGGAAACAGCTAAGTATATGCGTAAGTTTAGTGCGCACTAAACTTTCTGTTCGTCTAATTTTCAGTTTGCTTTTTTTCTTAAAATAAGCTAATTTAACTTGATTTAAGTTACAAGTTCATTGTAAATTAAATTTTTGAAGTGCGTTTCAAACATAACTTTTATTTATTTAGCAACTTTTGGCAAATATTCATAGGCTTAAGACTCGGCATCTACTTTAATTTTTCCGCCCTTTTCGAAAATATTTCCCAGATCCTTAAGGGATACGTCAGCTGTGCCTCGGGGCAGCGGCTGTGGCTGATTGGGCCCCGGCTTCCAGCCCACCAGGTAGATGATTTGAAATGTCGCTGGGACGCCTTCCTCGTTCGGTTTTCCGTAGAGCTCCTTGTAGATGGCACTCGCTGCTATTAACGTTTCGCGACTTAGATGGGCGGGTCTATTGAAGGCGGCATTGTTCTCGGCCATACCCTTAAGATCCCACATCAGCTCAAACATGCTAGGGTAGCCAATAACTATCTCGTCCGTATCTATGGTTAACATCGTAAAGCCTGCTCGATTGAGCAACGAACCAATATCACGGATTTGAGTAAAGGGTGAAACGTGAGGGGCGATTCCGCCCCTCCTCTCCAGCTCCGCCAACTGCAACGAGGAACGCAGTTCGTACAACGTGTCACCGCCAAATAGCGATGCAATAAACACGCCATCCGGCTTTAGGCTACGTTTAATACGCGTAAAGCAGCCGGGCAAATCGTTGACCCAGTGCAGACTTAAGCTGGATATAATCAAGTCCATGGAGTTTTCTTCAAACTTCACGGATAAAAAATTATTAAAACACTAGAATAATGCATAAATTTCATTTGTTTACCCACATCCAGTTGCTCCTCGTCTTGCACCAATTTGCTCATTTTTAGGCCCGGTGTGCCCTGCGCCTGTTCTAGCATTGAGGCACTTGTGTCAGTTAAAGTCAGGTGCTCCACGCACTCGGCGAGGATGTGCTTCGATATATAACCACGATTGCAGCCAATGTCGGCTGCGGTTTTGAATTCGCGCTTTATGTCAAACACACGATCCGATAAACGGAAGCCCACCTCCTCCTTAAGATAATCATAGAGCGCCACATCTGTGCTGTTGGGAATCAAATTGCTATAAAAGAACTCGATGAAACTTTGTTGAGTAATTTACTTAAGTGCCGCTCTTTCCTTTTGCAGTCGCTTCGCATTTCTATCGAAAATATTCATATGCGATGGTTGCATCGAAAGACAGCGCAATGCGCCATAATTGTTTGTTAAATGTTTCGCGCACGTTTTAAGCATTATTGAATAATAATACTGTGCCGTAATGTGCCGGCAGCAGCTAAGAAAACAATAATATATGGAAACAGCTTTGCTTATATGGGGTCCATGACATAAAGTCGGTATAGAACAATATGTAATATAATTAAACTTTACTTCTTGTTTACTGCGTGCAATTTATGTTTTATTAATTGTTACATATACATATGTAATTATTTATATTTCTTTGTAGTGTCACTAACCACACTGGTTAGTGGTAGTGTTGAATTATTTTATTATATTTTTTATCGACGTTCCAAAAAATCAGCTGATAAATCACACGCCAGGTATGCTGTTCAAATAAGATGTGGTTGACGAGTGAGGTATATACTAATTTATTTATAACCATATATATTTTATCTGATTTAAAGTTTGGTCAATGGTAGTGTAAGTAAATTAATTTTAGAGCAAAAGTAGATTTTCACTTTTCTTTACTAAAATGCCAGTGCTAATACCCGAACTGGCAACTGGCAACTGATCAGCGCTGGTGCTGCTAATGACGTTTGACGTTGTGCAACACTGCTAGTTTTGTTTTGGCGCGAAACGCTAAGGAAACGAAGATTGGGGTTGAACCAAATCTCGGATATAAATAATAATACAAAAATGAGTTTTTCGCGCAGTTCACTGCGTTATGCACACACTAATGGGTACACTGGACTATTGTACACTCCTAAAGGTGATTTTATGATCACGTGCGGCACTGATGGCGATATACGCCACTGGACCTGCATCAGCGACGATGATCCCCGTTCGACCTGTCTGGGCGAGTTTGTCATGTGCATTGCGCACACGGGAAGCCGACTGCTGGCCTCCACAGATCGCAACACGGTACACGCATACACATTCCCCGACATGGACAGCGATGGCATACTCATGCGCTTCACAGCACCTGTTACGTGTCTGCGAGTCAGTGGAGCATTTACAGCTGCTGGCAGCGAGGATACACATATTAAAGTGCTGAAGGGTGACAATGCGGGAGCCGAAACCATACTGGAGGGGCACAAGGGACCTGTATTAGCTCTCGATCTGTATGCTGAGCGACATCTGTTGGCTTCGGTGGCCGGAGACGGTCTGCTTAAGGTCTGGCAGTTTGAGAAGGGTGAAGAGCTGAAGAGTATATCAGGATTACCGCGCGTAAATAGCTTTGAGAGCGCCAGCCTGTTCGGGACGCCCAGCTTTGAACCACTGCGCGGTGAACAGTTGGCCTATGCGCTAGACAAGGAAATAATTGTTCTTAATACTTCCAACTGGGAGGTGGCCTACAAGCTACAGGATGATCGTGTCTCTGGCAGCTACAGTTGCTGCCAATTCTCGCCGAACGGACAGCGCTTGGCAGCGGGCACCACTAGTGGGGAACTCAGCATATTCGATGTGGTGCAGCGGAAGGCATTGTCGGTGGAGGCACCTCCCAGCGACTGCAAATCCATCACGTGCCTTGCCTGGAACCCAACTACAGCTGATGAGTTGGCCTATTGCGATGCTACTGGACAATTGGGCACCATATTTCTGGGTGAGGAAGAGACACGAAGCGGACTAGACGGTGAGCCAGAGGAGGAGCAGGATGAGTTGCTTACAGGCACAGGATTTGAATTTGAGGGTGGAGACGATGAGGATATGGCGGAGACTGATGACGGCGATGGCATTAGCCTGGAGCAGCTAAAACGTAAAGTGATGAGCAAATCGGGCTATGTGCCAGATGAAATAGACGATGAGCAGTCGAAGCACTCCATAGCCAGCAACTCCAGTGTGCCTCCCGCCCCCCAGTTAAAGCTCTTCAAGCAGCAGGCTCCCTTTCAGCCGGGCGCCACGCCAATTGATTTGGAACATCACTATTTGGCTTGGAACGATGTGGGTATTGTGACAGCGCATACCGAGCCAAGCGGTGATGGAGCTATCGATGTGGAATTCCACGATGCGAGCGTGCATCATGCGCTGCACTTGAGCAACAACTACAATCAACATAATCTGGCGAGTCTCAGTCGTAGCGCCTTGGCTTTGGCTTCCACGGAAAGTAGCAAGCTGGTAGTCATTGCATTGGCTGCAGCTGGAAACAAGGAGTGGTCGCTGAGTCTGCCGGACTGCGAGAGCGTGGAGGCTCTGGTAGCCACCAGTCAGCTGATTGCCGTAGCGACCAGTCATCGCTTTTTGCGCCTGTTTAGCGTAATGGGCACGCAGCGCGAGGTGTTGAGCTTGCCTGGACAGGTGGTCGCATTGGCCGGACATGAGAATAGCGTGCTATGCGTTTATCATGCCGCCGGTTGCAGCCAGAGTCAACAACATTTGGCTGCCATGCTGGTTAATGTGAGTGGCTTGAGCCTCCGCGTGGAGCAGCTTACATTGCCTTTGACACCGGGACGACAACTGAACTGGCTTGGATTTTCGGATGTGGGCTCGCCCTGCTTTGCGGATAACATGGGTCTGGTACAGCTATATCGTCGGGCCAGCAATGCCTGGTTCCCCATTTGCGACACCCTAAAACAGAGCTCCAGTGTATCTAATAACTACTTCATAGTTGCTCTTTCAGAGCGCAGACAGATTATTGAGGCTGTGCTCTGTCGCGGCAGCTCCTATCCCATGACTAATCCACGTCCTATGCTGCAGGAGCTGCGCATGCAGCTGCCGCTCTGTGACATTGAGCTGGAGAAATCGGAGCTGGAGGACACGCTATTGAGAGCCAGCTTGATGCAGTGGGAAGGCGCTGAGAAGATACAAAAGGAGACGGCCATAAAGCTGTTTGCTTTGGCCTGCAGTAGCGAGTGTGAGACGCGAGCTCGTGAGCTTATCGAGTCTATCGCCTGCACTGAGCTGCTCCAGCTAGCTGTTAAATATGCTTCGAAACGGGGACGCATTCACCTCTCAGATAGGCTATGCGAGCTGCTGCCACAACTGGAGGCAGTTCAAGAAGCGCGTAAGCAGCAGCAGCTACTTGGAGCCAACGGTATTGCCGCCACCATTGTTCTGCCCATGGCTCCAGTGCAGACGACAACTCCGAAATTAGCACCTAAAGCGATGGAACTGAGTGCCTCGAAGCGGGGCGCCTTAAAGCGCTTCACTAATTCTCCAAATTTATTTAGGGCTGCTGCCGCAGGAGCATCTCGTCCGGCAACGCCAGATGTAACCACAGCCCTGGATACTCAGGAGAATCTATTTGGCGAATCAGAGTCGCAGGCCAGCGACTCCAAGGATGGAGAGCAACGTTCACCCCTAAATTCCGTTAATCCATTTGCTATGAAACGCAAGCTTGTTGATACGGGCGTCATTTTTGGTTCCGAGAAGCTGAAGCTGGCCAAAAAATAAATTATTTTATTCATAAACTCTTTTACTAGTGATGTAAGATTAACTATACAAATAAATATAAACCGTTTTCCTCTTAAGATTTTACATCGATTTGTGCAGTTGAACCTGGTTCGCTCGAGAAAATACTGCACATCGATTTGTAAGCAATTCACAAGTTGGTCACACTAGAGCGGTTGTTTAGCCTGTTGCTTAACAAAGATCGATTCAGTTTGAAGTCGGTTCTTTCCCGTTACAGCTGTGTGAGCTATTCACGCAGCTCTTATCCACAGATAAGTGGCTTTACCCTCAAGTTGTATACGTGTCTACCAAGTTATTTCACAACCTGAACGCATTTTAGATCACACTCACATGTTGAATTGAGTTATATTTTAAATCGTGTTACACGCAACATTTTAATACCTACAAAAAACAAAAAAAAAAAAACCACAAAAATACATACATACATATATACAATACATTTTAAGAAGGCGTGGCATGTTTTTATCGCAATCAAAAATTCGCAGTGGTAAGTGTATGCATATATATGTATATGTATATATGCATAAGTATATATATACATACGTACATAAGCATGTCAATTGTTTCTGGCGATGTATGGCAACAAGAGCATATTGCCTTTATTAACCGTTACATGAGCGCGCGGGCACATATCCCAGAATCCATCTCTCATATACACACATATACACACAGACGCACACTTAATCAGCCGAGCACAACACTCGCTTGCAAGAGCGTGAGTGAATCAGCATCAGCATCTTCGATTTCTGCTAATAGCTACCAGATCACTATCGAAAGGTACAAATTTCTAAACTCATGCGCGTACACATATGTACATATGTACATACATATAAATTCTGTGATAGCTGCATTTTTGTCATTTACCGTTGAACCATTGTGTTGCGCAGGTTGTTCTTTGTTCAGTGCCAATAGAAATTTTCGCGAAACATTGCAATTTCGTTAGTGTGTGTTTGTGTGTGTATGGATCGTTGAACGGTGTACTCAGACAAAATTCGTATTTAATTACAGTTTAGAAACCAGAATCCAGAGTGCTATCAATTCATTTTGTTTTTTGCTACTCCTACTTTGAGTTAGTGTGCTCAAGTGTGGGTGTGCGTGTGCAGTGTGTGTGTGTGTGTGTGTGTGTGTATGTGTAAGAGATCGTGCGCGTGTGTGCGTGCTTGTAAGTACTGTGCAAAGCATTTTCGTCCGTTTGTGCGTATTTACCATGACAAAAAATAAAATTCAAAAAAAGGCCAGTGGCCCAAAGAAGGCGATCCCTGTCAATAGATTAAAGAAAGTAACAAATACAGCAACAATGCCACCTTCCATTTTGACGCCGCCAGCGACGCCGCCGTCAACATCATTTGTAAGCTTAAACAATAAAACCATAACAGCCAACAACAACAACCGCAATAGTAACAATGCTGATTTCCAAGCCACGCCGCAACGCAAGCCATGGGGTAAGTGCATTAACAACTACGCTTTACTGTATTATTTATTAATTCTGCAGACAATTAATTTCTAAAAAATAATTTTAAAAATCCTTAGAGCGCGAGTTAATTGGCTCCTTTCTGCTAAAAATGGCTGAGATCCAGGTGGTGAGCGCGCGCAACAGCTGGTACGTGGATAAACGAACGCTGCGAAGGGAATTCGAAAAGCATCTACTACGGGAACCCAATAGCACAGAACTACGCGCTCAACTCTCCGTAAATGGGGCTTATAATGTAAGTAGACTATTGCATAATTATAATCGTAAGTGGTCCAAAAAATTACGAATCCTGCGAATATTTTGATGGAAATTAAATATATATTCTCATGTTTCCAAAATTTGCAGACTACATAAAAAAGATACAGTCAACAGTTAGTATAATGAACTAAGTTATTGATATAGAATATTAATCGTTCATTTTCTATTTAGAATATTTACAGACCACCGTTGTAAATATACATATAACAAAGAATGTTGTTAGTTTGATATGGCTGATTATACTGTATACGTGCTGTACTAAGACCCATACTTGAACGTAGAAGATTGATATATATTTGTGCTTTCCTCGTTATTTAAACACTCTCAATTGTGTTTCGCTCTTTTTGCCAATCTATCAATTCTCTATAGCTAACTTACTTTATCAACTCAACCCAGCTCTCTGTCTCTCTCCGTCTCTCGCGCTTTACCTCTCTCTTAATCTCTCTACCTACTCTCTACTCAACCTACCGCAGATATCAAAATCTGTTAGTCATATGTTTGCAGGCAGCTCTCTGGGTTTTACCGGACTAAACTGTAATCTATAGTCGCCTCTCATTGTTGTTGTATTTTTATACCCTGAACCCATTGAAAATGGGAAATCAGGGTATAATGGTTT